AGGGAGAGGGTGGGGGGAGTCGCCAGCCCGTCCTTTTAAAGCGCATCGCACCGCACCACGGGGAAGAACACTTGTTGAACTGCGCAAGGGATCAGGGTGGGGGGGGGTTGGCCTCGGCGGGACCCGCGTGGCGGCGACGGTGGTGCCGGCTTCGGTGGGACCCACCCCGCCCCGCCCGCTCGGTGGTTTGGCGTCGCTCGGTGCAGCGCTGGAGCAGGCTTGGCTGGGTGTCGTGTCACGGATCAGGCGCCAAATCTGCCCTACGTGCCGTGGCCGAAACTGTCACGACAGATTAAGCACTACGGCAGATGCGGTGGTATCACACAGGTGATGCACACTGTACTCTCTTTTATTCGAAAAAAAAATCTTCTCTGTTTTAAAAAAACCTTCCGATCAATTAGAAATAACAAGAATTACAACTCAATCTATGGATCTCCTACGACGACTACAAGCACTGGAGCGAGCCTAAGGCGTGCCGCCATTATCCCTTCCTCCCTCGTCGGAGACGAACAAACCTTGTCGTTAGAGCAATTCCAACGGGGCAGCCCAACCGGACGGGCGCTTTGTCCGCTTTTTGTCTGCTTGGATCGGCCAGGCGGACGTGCGAGTCCGTATTTTAAAATGGGTTGGCTTGACCGCCCAACGGGGAGGCCGATCCAAATGTACCGGCTTGGAAAAACAAGTTGCACGAAATAAACATAATTAAACATAAAGTGGCCGGTCAAATGCCGGTCAAAGTCCACCTAAATCTAATAAACATTAAATAAAACATTAAAAAAGTTTGCGCACGCCTGCTACCGCCCCGCACGTTGCCCTAGACGTCGTCGGCCTTGCCCTTGCCGTTGACGCCGCCGTTGTCGGTGAGGTCGATGAAGACCGGAGCAGGGCCAGCCCACCCGAACGTCGTCTGGTACGCTGCCAGGGCAGCCTCCTCCGACGTCTGCTGGGGCGGCGGCATTGCGGCCAGCCGCGCGCGCTCCTCATCCTCCTCCTCGAGCCGGAGCGCCTCCGCGTCACGTTGGAGCATGGCCTCGTAGCGCATCTGCTCCTCGCCATCGGCCTGCTCCTGGCGGAGCCAGTGCTCCTTCCAACGCTCGAGGTGGGCCTCCTCCTGCTTCGGTGTCGCGACGAAGTGGACGGGAGGCGCGCTCACCCACTCGCGGTACTGGCCCGTCCACGAGTAGGCCTCCTCCAGCCAAATGGGTGGAGGCGGGGAGCGCTTACGCGTCGGCTCTGGCTCCGGCTTGGGCTGGACGGGCGGCGACGGTGGCGGTGGCGGCGGCGGCACGAAGAGCGGGGTGTGGACGGAGTCCCCCGCCGCTGACAGGGCAAGGGCTTGGTCCAGCCCATCCCAGTGCGCGTTCTCCTCGAGGTGGCTAGCCTCCAACGCGTGCTGCAGTGGTACTCCGCCTCCGCTCTCCATGTCCTCCAGGTCTACCTGCGGGGGCGGCGGGACGGCGTCGACACCCGAGCGTCGTTGCTCCTCGTATTCGAGGGCGAACCACGCCTCCCAGTTGGTGGAGTCGGCGGCGTACTCTGGCAGCCGACGCTGCTCCGGCGTGATCTGCGCGCGGCGCCTGCACACCTCGTCGTCGTGCGCCCGCTAGCCACGCGGAACCGCCGGCACCGGGATCCGCTGCGGATCCAGATGCCAATGGTGCGATAGTGTGACATCGGGGTACGGCAGTGGCTGCCTGTACTCCCAGTACCACCGCGCTTGGTGCACCGGGATGTGCAGGCGCCGGGCGACCAGGGTGGAAACGTGGCGCCGCCGGAGGAGGAGGGGGAAGGGGAGCACGGGAGGACGAGGCGCCGGGGGTGCCCTTGCCCTTACCATTGCCATTGCTGCTGCCGAAGAGGCCCATGGGCACGCTAGGGTTTGCGGTCGCCGGCGAGGAAGCAAAGGGAGTGGTGCGGGGCCAGATGTGGACGGGAGAAGTGGATGAGCCGACCCCGCCGCACGCATGGTCAAAAAAGGACGCTTCCACTAGCTGACGCGTGGGCCCACTATCGGTGGTCGTCATAAATAAGACGACCGGTGACGGTTGGGTGGCCACCAAGTGGGGACGCGGCGAACGGCGAGGAGACGGGCAGCGCGTCCGCTTCGCGTCCGCGCCGACGCATTCCACGAGCAATTTTAGGCCGGAAATGGGTCGGCGCGGACGTCAGGCGGACATGATTTGAGTTTGGGTCGGCGCGTTAGGCCTTCACTTTTGTCTGCGCCGACCCAAACGGACGCGGGCGAACGAAATGGGTCGCCCCATTGGAGTTGCTCTTATAGTAGATAGTCGGGAATCGTCGTGTTGAAGCCCTAAAGGATTTCAACATCAGAACAACAATCATCAACAGAAGCATACATCGGAAGGATCAAACTTGTAAACACATGAACGACGACGATCGTCAACCGAATCAAGATGGATCCACCGGAGACCAATGAAGACGGGATCCAAACAAATCCACCATAGACCAACACAGACCGAATTTTGTGAGATTCACCGAAGACACACATCCACACGCTCTCTGACGGTGCTAGATGCACCACCGAGACGAGCGCTAGGCAAGATGGACATAATTCCATCTTCAAAGAGTCGGTCGTGCACCTAGCCTCCCTGAGATGGACATGATCTCTCTCACCAACAAGGACCGGGATCCATCTTGTCTCCATGTCCCTAAGGACACTCAAGGCGATGCGACGGGTGACGACACCAATGGGAGTCTGGGAAAACCCTAATCACCTTGTTCGCGTAAGACATGAGACGAAGGGGTAACTCACGTATTAGTTCGCGTAATATACAACAACAATACAAAGGTTCCTAGAAGTAACACAAATTACAACTAAATCTATGGGTCACCTAGCAACGACCATAAGCACTAGGGAAAATTTGTTACATAGTACAGACGCAAGCATTTATAAACGTGCATACACTCACTTCCATGAACGCACACACGCATCCTATTCCTATAAGCATCTCCGAGAGACTGAGCCAATATATCATCTTGAGATTTTATAAAGTCATCGTAGACGTCTCCTCCCACTGAACACACATCACCGAAATTCCTGGAAAAAAATCCAGGATAAATGAGCACCAGAACTTGAAAACTGATGTGCTGAGGATACCACTGTCCGCCTAACCATCCAACCACAGTTTGGTTCGCAGCAAAATTTGTTTAGTAGATGACAGAGGAGTCGTTGTGCTCAGACCCAAAGAATCGGCGCACTAAAACAGTAGCTATCGTTGATGAAGAGAAACATGGATCAAAAGAGCCATATCTACAAACGCACCAACTAAAAAGATGGTGGGCTGAATTTAGACGAATATACCAAACATCGACCGGATCCAACCACCAACAAATACAAGTGCTAACCGGACCTAAGGAGATCTGCCGAAGATACACATCCACACGCACTTCGTTGATGCTAGGCGCGCGAGAAGGATATTATTCTAGCCTTGGGATGTGGTCGCGGCCTTGCCATCCCAACCCAATGGACACACTAAAATTACCTAAAGTAAGGACGGGGTCCCTT